ATTCTATGTTTTGGATTAATTAAATTAACGTCTTTCATGAGATCTTTATTATCCTTTTATTTATTCCTTTTAGAATTGATTTGTTTTAGATTAATAAAATTACCGTCTTTCTTTTTTTTTTAAAAAAAAGCATATGAAATTATTTTTTTTCATTAATCTTTCCACGCATATTGGATCATATAATAAGGTACATTAGAGAGGTTATAACGATGGAAAACATCATACTAATAAATAACATTCTATGTAATGATTTTATAAATCACTTATATATTACTTGCTACATAATATATTATATAGTTTTTATAGACTATCTTTTGTATATCTATTGTGCTCTATATAAGTTAGGAAACTGACCTTTCTTTTAACAAAAGCATGGGACTCTTCAAATCTAGAATTCTAGAGCAGAACATGGACTCTTCATTTATTTCTGTTTTGATTTCTGCCATCTTTTTATGTCTTGAGGGAGAGACATTTTGCTACGTTTTAGTATAAAATAAGCCCGTACATCTTTTTTAATTATGATTAAATATAGGGTTGAATTTATTTATTAGCAAGGACAAATATTTTGTATTTTCGTGTATGAAAAATAAATGCTTTCTTTATATAGTGTAGAAGTCCCTTAAATTTCAACATGTAGATTTTTTCTCAAGTTAAATAATTTATTTATTATTTAATAATAAAGCTCTCAACATATAGTGTAAGTGTAGTAAGAATATGATTGAATATTTTGGTGCTAAGTTTAATAGTACAAATTAGATTATAAGCATGGATTAATGATTTTGTAATTGATTTGCTATTAGAATAACTTGTATAGATATATGTTTAAATTTTCTTATTAATTTTGCAATTAAATAAGAAAAATTAATTATTTATAACTATTATAATTTTGTTGACAGTTAGAACAATCAACTGATTTATATTTTTAACACCTTGTATGTTTGATTACATTTTTTTTTTAATAATCACATACGAAACAAGTTAAGTAAATTTTTTTATAAGAATAAAATTCACTATTTGACAATTTCATTAATAAATACAATAATATACAATTTATTGTTACACTTTTATATGTATTCATTACTCTTTAAATTATATACATATAAATTGTTCTTAACATATTCATTCAAAAATACATGAATCCCTTCAACATTAAAGGTTAGTTAGTTTGGAGACATTTTATAAAGAGACGAGGTCTTTCAAGAGAAATTCTTGTAACATATAATTAATATAAATCATAAATATTTTTTATATATAAATGTCATCTTTAAAAATAATCACAATATAACCTGGTGTAGCTTAACTGGTTAAATTCTAGGTTTATTTTTCAAAAATCATCAATTCGAGTTTTACAAATCTCAAGGCCACTAAAACTTATATGATCGTTAACTTTAAGGTTTATGGAATTAGTCAATATGCACACAAATTATCTTGAGCACCCACGTTAATCTAGAAAAAATATAATTACAACATAATAATTCATACATAATTATATCCATTATCAAAATGCTTAAATCAACTCTAAAAATGACATAACTTAAATATTCCCTAATCAAAATTTTTCATTAATAACATGACTTATATTTACATCATTTCATTCACCGAATAAGGCCTTTCTTCTTTGCACTTTATCTCAACCATAAAATCATACAATTATTATTAAACTTTATTAATACCTTATGACATTAGAAACCAGATAATTTAATAGCATTTCATTTGGATTCTCAACTTTTGAAAGAATTTACCTCCTAACAAATATATATAAAATCATTGGAAACAATATACACTTTTAAACCACCCTGATTATTAATATTTAACACCTATACAACAACATTTATTTTTGTTAATCTTTTGTAATTACTTCCAACTTATACAGTTTCCAATTTAAGACATTTTATTCAACCTTTGATGAATTCTTATTTTAATTTCATTATATCATTTCCATACCATGTCCTTACAAATCATATCCTTTCTATACTTGCGAGCATATTTAACTCATCTAATATTTCATTCTACTTTCACACTTAACTTACGCAATTATTTTGTTCCATAACATATGTAATTCATTTCACTTTCCGTCCTATAACTACGATTAAATTCCTCAAATATCACATTTTACAACTCGTTTAATTGACTTTTCTTCCAACAATTACCTTCATCATTCATGATCATCGCTTCAAAAAAATTTTAATAGCAATGTTTTTTCTGTAAAAAAAGCATAATAATTTAATTTAAAGCAAAAAAATGACATACTCTTATGCTTATTAATATAGATTGGTAGGAGATACAATTTGTTATACATTTTATAATATGTATAAAATTAAGAGATTCAATAAAAAAATAAAACACATATATAGCAATATATGAGCAGCTAGCCCACGGAGATTTATAACATCATATAGCATTTTAGCTCGATCCTTTTTTTTTAATGTCTATTTCATCCCATTTCAACCTTTTAATATTTACAAAATGATCTCTTCATCCATTTTATTATTTCTAACCAATTAACCTTTTTTTTTTTTGACTCATTTCAATATGCATAATATCATATATGACTTATCCATATCATTTACAATCTTATCAATTCCATATTAATAACAAACCTAATGAATATAACAAATATAATGGACAATTAGATACTTAAATCACAGTTGGTATATACATCAAAATAAGATTATTTAATATACATGTTATAAAATTCAAATTCAGTGATATATCCCCTAAAATATTCAAATTAGTAATACTTTACAACTAATTTACTGATTATGATTATATCTAGACTGAATTAAACTTGAAACTAAGTAATTAGCATCATAAATATTTGAATACCTTTATAAGCATGCAAGTAACATATTACTTAATTAAACTTGAAACCAAGTAATTAGCAACATAAATGTTTGAATATCTTTAAAAACATACAAGTAACATCAATAAGAGTTTTTTTATTCTGTTCTTAAAAGACATTCAACATATTTCTTTGATTCAATAATTTAATCATGTCAACTATTATCAATAAGATCAACTTAATCCCATCCATCCTATACACATGTGCATAACCCTGCTATACCTTACGAATACCAATAAATTTAGTTAACTCATTTGGTTGCTAATAATACAATTATTCCTCATAGATATTAAAAACTCTGACAAATCTATTTGATTGCCAATAAATTTAGCTAATTAATTTGATTATCAACAATCCAGTTACCCCTTATAGATGAAAATATAATTGTTAGATCTTCAACTTTGTTTGTTTCTTTGCTTTAAAACTTCAAATAATCAATACACATGAAAAGAAAACAAGGTACTTATAATAATAAAACTTATTGTTTTTTTAATTTTAACCAATGTGTTGAACACTTATACACATTATGTATATGTCTTGCTCTATTAGCATGTTGCCCAGCTTTAGAAATCTCTCTTATATCAACATGATTTTTAAATAATTATCAAAATAAAAAATCAACTTAGAAACCATATTTGGACTCATATTTAATTCATATTTACAAATAAATAACAAAGTAAATTTATAGGATTCAATACATATCTATACTTTCCAATGTTTTTATCATTTATTAAAAAAACTTCAATCTATCATTTTCTCAAGATATATCCATTTATTCATACAACAACACATAATCATGTATTTAAACACATCAATTAGCATCCATATATCCAATTTTAGCCAATTTCCTCACCTTAATATACCTTTTTCATATAACACTTTCACTCTTGTATTTCCTATTTCTTTGTTATAGCATTGTTTTAATATATTTAAACTCAAGTTTCAATAATAATTTGAAATAATGATCCATACAAAAACTTATTTTCCTATCAATATCCCAAGATCTATAAAAAACTCTCCAAGGATTCTGAAATTGTAACGGTCTAAAACTTACTAGGCTATAATCTACAAGGAGCTCTTTGCTTTTTTAGGGCTAGATTTCAAAAAAATAAAATAAAAAAGGAGTACTCTAACCAATATCATGTCATCCTCTGTGATAATTTATATTGGGCTATTAAACCAATCACCCCACCAATTATTAGAAAAAAATGAATAACGTAAAACAATTATTATTAAACATTAACAAGCATATTACACAATTTTTTATTGATAAGCCAACGGGTCAAAACATAATTGAAACGCTATGTCACAGGTCTCGCAAAGAACAGGGGAGGGGAAGGAAAAAACAGAAAGAAAAAAGACATTTGAATTATATGACCGTTGAAGCAACTGTAGGGCTATCTCAAAAACACATTTTTTACTCATGTAAAACACACCGTTTACTAAGTTGTTATTTTCCTATTAGTATCCCAAGGGGGAACGGAAGAGAAATTATCAGTAACAATTTGTTTTATTTTAAATTATAGGTATTAGGCTAGTTTGTTTATCTCAATTAATTCTTTAAAATTCTAAAATTTATAAATTTTTTTAGTAATTCTAAAATTTATAACACTTGAAGCAGTAATTTCTAGGAAGTAAATCACTATTCTCCATTGTTTCTTGGCATTAAAGATCGAAGGCAGCACTAATACGAGCAGAGTAATTTTAGTATCTTCTTTAGTCTCCATTCATAGGCAACGGGAGAGGTTGTTCCGGTAGCCATATATCAATTTATGCTTATTTTGTTGTTGCAGATCCCATCTGATTAAATGGGTTCTCTATTCTCCTGGACGCCAGCGTTTAGATAGATACACAGATGATCCCTCCCGACAATGAAATAAGTAGGACAAGCTGTGTGGGGTTAAAACAGATGACAGATTTAGTAAAGAATAAAATTGATATAGCTAAGAGAAGAGAGAAAAAAGAAAAACAAGGGAAAGCCTAATGTAACTGGTAGTATCGAGTTTCTTGTAGTCTACGCGTTCTTAAAGAAGACGTGGCCAAGTAACAGAGCAAGTGTTGAAAATGAATGTGATTGGCAATGGTAGCTAGCATTTCCCTATCTATATATATTTTCTTCACATTCCAAGATGCTTCACATCTTGAATATTTAGTTAAATGTGAGCCAGCTCCATGCTTTTCTTGCTTCCACACTTGTTGTGCCTTCAAACCCACATCCTTCCTCATCTCAACCTCTTAAAAAAGAAAAAGCAACATTTTGCTGTAAAAAAGTCTCAAGTTTGCAGCACTACCATACCGAGATTAATCTTTCTTTTCTGTTTGCGACTCTGCGTAAAACAGATAAGATGGTGAGACCTCCTTGCTGTGGCAAGTTGAATGTGAAAAGGGGTCTATGGACTGCAGATGAAGATGCAAAGATACTTGCTCATGTTGCCAAGCATGGAACAGGAAATTGGACTGCTGTTCCAAAGAAAGCAGGTTGATTTATATACATTGTTGTTGTGATTTGGATTATAATTAACAATTTGGCCAAGCATGGTACAGGAAATTACGGCTTAATTTCCATAAATGAGCATGTTTTGCAGGACTTCAAAGATGTGGGAAGAGTTGCAGACTTCGGTGGACTAATTACCTGAGCCCTGATCTCAAGCATGACAACTTCACACCCCAAGAAGAGGAAATGATTATTAGGCTACATGCAGCCATAGGTAGCAGGTGAGTTTCATTTATCACAGGTTTTCTCCTGCATTTTTCCTTTTCTCCATTGATGAACGCAGTTTTGCAACCTAAAGATATACTAATTATAGAGAAAATTTCTCATTACTTCACTTGGGTAAACTATCATTCTAAACAGAAAATTAGTTCCAATATGAAGCGCACTTTACGTTCATTTCCCCTAGAGTTTGTTCGAAACTATAAAGTTATCGATTTTCTCCATTTTAGAGCCATTTTTCAGCCTTTACAATTAATTTCCCTCTGCCTCCCCTCAACCATCTCACGAATCAGCTGATTATTAGTTACAAGGCCAGATTTTACTGGCTTCTATCCTAATATTCTTACCGAAATCTCATTCATTTTATCTCAGGGAAATGTTTGGGGAACAACTTTGTTAGCAAATAGCAACAGTGCCAAACATTTTGTGGTATACATTGGTAAAAAAATTAATTCAAGCATTCATCAAATGTAAAGATAAAATACTATTTTGAGAATTAGCACTTCCATGCTACAAATTGTGAAAGCAATACTGCATAGGACAGCTGAGATAGTGTCTTTGTATCGTGTTTAACCGATATGATTGTACTACACCTTAATTAGGTGCAAATGTTCTCAAATCAGCGATCCCAAAATATAATTTATAATATTCTTAGACAACTACCAATGGGGTGCATGCAAGAGATAAACCAGTTTTCTGTTAACAGTGCAAGAATAATGACAATCTCTCTCTCTCTCATGTTTCATACTGTTACAGGTGGTCTATCATAGCCCAACAACTTCCAGGAAGAACAGACAATGATGTGAAAAACTGCTGGAACGCCAGGCTAAGAAAGAAGCTCTCTGAAATGGGGATAGATCCTGTTACTCACAAGCCATTCTCTAAAATTTTAGCTGACTATGGAAACATTGGTGGCCTTGTAAAATCTGGAAGCAGAATTGGGTCTCTCAGCAGAGACCTAAAAAGTGTTTTCACTTTGAAACCAGAGCAATATAATTCCATCCTACCTGAAGGAATCTCGAACATCAACAGCCATTTGATGACCAGAATGGTACCACGTAAGATGGAACCAGTTCAAGAATGTTTCTTGAACAGGTTTAACAATGACAGTACTAATAGCAATCACTCACTGGATCTTCTTGATCAGCTTCAATCCATAAAACTGGTGACGGAGGCCTCTAGTACTTGCCCTGAATATCAAACTATGCTGGTACCCAATCCTAATTATAATATCCTTGATGAAGGCTCATTATCATCATCTACTTGCTCCACCGAAGCTCATGAAAATTTGCCAACAAGCTTTAGATGGTGCGACTTTCTTCTAGAAGATCAATTTCTCCCCAATGATCCACAAGCAGAACAAGAAAACGCAGCAGAACTTTCATCCAAGGACTTGACGAACCAAACACAGAATGTTATTGTGACAAGCCAAGGCCAGAATCCGAATTTGATGAAACCACAATGTGATCAAATTGTTGCTGAGGTTAATGTCGGAGTCAACGGAACGGATTTGGCAGTCCAAGACAATATTGGTTTTGGTGACCAAGTTGCACCATCGTCATCACAACACAGTTCATTTGTTGAAACTATTATAGATGAAGAAAACAAGATATTCTTCGATTTTCCTAACTTGCTAGAGGAACTATTCAACTACTGATCAATTAGTCAGTTGCTTAAATTCGAAGCCCCCCATGGTAGGAAATGCATGCTTCCTAGTTTCTTTTTATGTTAGTTTAAGCTCTGAACTAGTTTTGTTGTCTGAATTTGCTGTAACCATTAACCAAAAGAGGGAATTGATGGATGGATGAAAAACAAGTTTGTTCTTAGTACGAGTGTCTAAAAGTTCATGAAATAATGGTAAATGAATCCTAGTATTTCAAGCATGTTAAATAATATTCTGTTTTTATATTAATCTAAAGTTACGTTTAAGAAGTTTTCGAGTTAGATACACAAGGCTATAAGGGTATGGAGGACTAGATCATTGGTTAAGCGAACCAAGTGAGAAATAGCTTTTATTCTAATCTAAAGAGTGAGATCGAGAAAGAGAGTGTTAGGGGGTTAAATTAAGAAAGTATAAAATTATACATCTAGAAATAATTATCCATTTCTTTTAAAATCTATATAAAATAATATATATATTTTATAAATTTCATAAAAATTCAATTTTACTTAAATTTCTAACTTCAAAATAAAAATTAATAAAATATGATTGATATTTTTTTTTAAAAAAAACTATGATTTCTTTAATTATAAAACAAAATTAATAAAATATGATTGATATTTTTTAAAAAAACCTATTATTTCTTTAATTATAAAAAACCCAATTTATAAAATCAAACTTAAAATCATTAAATGAAAACAAAATTCAACTTCTCTTAAATCCGAAATAAACAAAGTAAGTCATACATTAATACAATAAATTTCACTAGGAAAAAACCATAAAACACTTCAATATAAAAGCAAACTACAATACTATAAAGAATTTCAATAAATTAATCTAAAACATAAATGAGTTATAAAAAAATAAATATGTTTGCTTATTTTGTGATTGGAGCTTTATAAAAAATCCAATGATGAATGTTACTAATATAGATATAGATCAACCCTAATGGGTTAGGATGGCTAAATTTATGAGAAAATAAAGGTTGTTAATTTTTTTTGATAAGATAAAAAAAAAAAAGATAATAATGATGATGAATAGGGTTAGAAAACTGTTGGTTATAACTTATTTATATTTTTCAATGAAAATATTTTATTAGAAATTGAGATTGAATGTTATTATAGTATATGAATAAACAACGAGTCAAATATAAATTTGATAAATTATACAAGGATTCTTTCCATAGTAAGGTTTTATTTAGTGTTAGTTGAGGTTTTTGAAAATTAATGTTTCATTTTGAAATTGTGTGGTTTAATAATGTTTAAGGTAATGTGAACAAATTGAATAATAAGTGAATGGAGTAAATTAAAAAGGAAAATATTATCCTTTTATTTTTTTAGGATTCCAGCAATGTAAGGAAAAATAAAAAACGTTATTGTTGTGAAATTTTGGTTATAATGCATTAGTGTGACCGATTGATGATTGGTTAATGGGTTAACTGTGGAAAAACAAATATGCCCCCAATCTATATGGACATATTAGACCAAAATAAAAAATGGGTTAACTGTGGAAAAACAAATATGCCCCAATCTATTCGACCAAAATAAAAAATTTTAGGGAAGGATTAATTAATAAAAATTGATGTTGATTACTAATATGGTATTATTGTTGAGTTGTTTAAATGTTGGTACATACTTTAATTGTTTGAATTTTCAAAAAAAATTCTCACCCATATACAATGGCCGTTTCATCCAAAAAGAAAGAAAATATTGTATTTTACTTGGTAGATTTTAATTGTGAAATATGGGGTATGGGAATTATACTAGATTGATTATTGACTTCTGGTCATGAGATAGTTAACTAAAATTTAAAAAAACTTATATTATATTTAAATTAAAAAAATTAATAAAAATGGTTAATTTAATAAAATAAATTATGCTCGATAAATAACATATTATATTATGAGAAATTGATTATGAATTATTGATACATGAGAGGTTGTCAAGAGAACATCAAAACAAGATTCTGTGTATTATACCTAAACTTCAGGTAGGTGCTCTACACATTGCTATTTTAATTATATTTAAAGTTGTTTAGATACATGTTAAATAATTTTTTTTTAAAGTTCAATTGTATAATTATTTTATCTATGCATCAGCCAATTTTTCTTATGAGTTGGCTAATTTATCCGGTATGATGGCACAGGTGCCTTGTTTTAAGCGGTTGGATGAATAGATTTCTTAGTTTTTAAAAATATGTCTAGATTCGGGTGATGAGTACTGAAACCCAAATTAGGGGTTGTTAATTAAAATTGGATTATAAAAATTCTTCTCGTCCATGAAGAAATTGAATTACTTTATTGATAACTTAAATATATAAAAAAAAAAAATTCAGTTAATTTAGTATTTGTCATATTGTTATTTTATTTATCATGCAAATTAATTTACATTAATATTAAATTAATTTCCAGGTTCAACACCACATGATAGGACTTATTAGAATTAAAACCTTACTTTTTGTATAAAATTAATATATGTAATCATGATAATAATAACTTGTAATTTTAAAGATGAATATAATTTAAAATTACATTGCATTCTTTTGTTATGTTTTAAGGTAATTTATTTGAAGAGTTAAAGTGATGTGATAAAGAAATTTAAACGACGGATTTAATTTAATTATTTTTGTAAAGAATAAGTTTATTATCATGTTAAATTTAATTTATATGTTTGAATTTAATTTAATTACATATATTTTATATTTTATGTGAAGTAGCATTAAATTTATTATGTTATTTTAATTATTTGGATGACGAATTAGTTTTATATGTGATTGATGTGGTTCGTTTCAAAAACAAATTATTTTAACACGTGGGATTATTAAAAATTCCGGGATGGTACGACGGCGTCCAGCAAACCCTCCTTCAAATGATGTCCCCTCCTCTCCTTTCCCGGCAGCAACTGGCGGTAGTTGAGCTTTTAAAGATTCCAGGCATCGAAGTCCATGGAATTAGAAGCTTCAGAAGAACATGATTTGATACAAGCTGCTCTGTACATTTGTAAGTTTTTGGGCACTCTCGCCATTTCCCAGCTTGGTAGGGCCCATTCCTAGCCTTCGGCCACAATTGATGAAGGTTTCATTCATTGTCTGCATTTCAAACTCTTTATCATCATTCATCATTGCAGTTAGGGAGTTCTAACCTTAACAACTATGTGATTAAAGATTATGAAATGATGGGTTTGTTTTTATGTGTTAGAAGACCGAAGGCACCGGCTCAGCGGTGGGATGATGCTTTGCGTCTTCTGCTGTCACGAGTTTTAAGTTTTTGGGCACTCTCGCCATTTCCCAGCTTGGTAGGGCCCATTCCTAGCCTTCGGCCACAATTGATGAAGGTTTCATTCATTGTCTGCATTTCAAACTCTTTATCATCATTCATCATTGCAGTTAGGGAGTTCTAACCTTAACAACTATGTGATTAAAGATTATGAAATGATGGGTTTGTTTTTATGTGTTAGAAGTTTTTTTAAAATATTTTTATTTTTTATTTTAAATTATTTTCATGTATTAATATTTAAAATAATTTTTGAAAAATAAAAAAATATTTTTAAATAAAACATACTTTAAAAAATAATCACATAAAAAATTAAAATAATTTTTTTTAAGATTATACAAAAAAATAAAAGACATTTATGAATAACAAAGGATCTCATGAACTAAAGTTCTATTTATTTTTATATTTTAAGAATATTTTTAAAAAATTTAAATTTCTTTGTTTTTTTGTTTAATTTTTTTAATGTTTTTATATCATTTAAATACTGTAATATTAATTATTTTTAAAAAATTAAAAAAATATTATCTTAATATATTTTTAAATAAAAAATATTTTAAGAAATATTCATAACTCCATCATATTATTTGAATTTGGTAAACAAAGCTGTTGACAACTCAGTCCAAACAGGATTTATTGGTCAACGGTCAACAGCTCCATATCCTCCATCCCCGGCGCGTGTTAGAAAAAGACAACCAGATCTGGCTCACGGGATGTCCCCATCCAATGAACTCCCCGACGCTCAACAAACACTTAATTCTAACTATAACTTAATGAAACTAATTAATTAGTCTTGTTATTGTTATTATAGTATAACTTAATGAAACTAATTAATTAGTCTTCTTATAGAATAATAGTTATTTTAAAAATATTTTTATTTT